GAGAAGTTAGGAGAAACACACGGGAAGTCTCCTTCTAAGACTCCAGAACAAATCAACCCTGTTGATATCTTAATTTTAAACTTTTATCTTCCTTAACTGTGAGAGGGTAACTATTGTTTTAAGCCACTCATTTTGCTATAATTTGTCAGGGTAGCTGTAGGAAACTAAGACAACCTTCTTAACTTCTTTCTCTACTTCTTTTTACTTATAAAACGTCCAACAACACAAAACCACTCAGAAAAGACTTCACTACCAAAGGCTGAAGGCTGAGACTTAATCAGTTGGAAATCATTTCCAAGGAGATAATATGATCATTTCTAAAACCTCATATGGAGATGTGGATGAAAATACTTGTCCTCTGAAATCTCTTACTTGGTACAGATTACAATATAATAAGTGAGTATAAGTGTGAGGTCCTTGAAAGGCAGAAAGAATACAGGATTATAAAGGTCACTGCTCTCAAAAGAAGAGGTGGTACCAAGAGGAGGTGGACGGTGAGAGCAGTGGACATATGATAGCAAAATTCTAGATACCGAGGAGGAGATCCTATACCCTTTTTTGGAGAAGAAAACAGATTGCCTATACAGGGAAGAAAGTCAAATTGAGATGAGTCTCATCCTCCCACATTTCCTAAGACGATATGTTCACATGGAGTTATACAAGAAACTCAGTAGTATTCTGCAAATACAATAAGGGAAGCTTTATTAGTTTTTAATCTTGATAAAACTGACCTTCTCTTGTGAACATAAATAGATAAACCAAAAGTTATCAAACAATGTAGAAATCATGAGTAATAGAAAGCGACAGTGGTCTACAGGACGTGCAGAGCCAATGGCTTCCAAAAAATAACCAAAGATGAGATTGATATTTTAAAAATTCTAATTAGTGTGTAGTATATTGTCTTCACTATTAATTGAAGGTTGATATGTGAAAGGAACTATCAGAAAGCAAAGAAACAAATATACAAAATGCTCAAATCCAATAAATTCAGTGAAATATTGACTTTAAAAAAATGAGGTTTAAGAATTCCCCTGAAATTTTTCATAAAGCATATAGCAAGAATCAAAGAAACAGAAACTATCAGAAACATGAGCATATATACATATGTGGACAAAAAAGAAATGTAAATGATCTAAACTGTTATGTAATAGAATATTACATGGGATTACATTACAGATTATTATGGGTATGGGAAAAGCAGAACTTCCAACATTTCAGATCTTATGAAATATTTGAGTTTTTATATAAGAAAAAAAATATGAGAGGTTGAGTGAGAGATACTTATAAATACCCTGGTGAACTTTCAAATTTTTTTGCCTAATAAGAAAATTCTTCAACTTCTTAAGGAAAAATAAAAATGAAAGTAATTTAGTTTTAGAGAAACCATATAGAAATATTTATCTATATCCTCACATATTAAAATGTAATTGAATACTTATTTTGCTAAAATTAAATGTATATATATGTACATATATATATATATATATATATATGTATATATGTGTGTGTATATATATATATACACATATTCAGCCAAACCAAATGCTGGAGAGGGCTACAGTGAGTCAGTATGCCAAAGGAAAGAAGATCAGGGAAGAAACTGGTCCAGGGCCCTAACATTGTGAAGGAGCAAGAGACCAAGAAGGTGGTAAATCCTCTTTGAGAAAAGTCTTCAGATTTGGGTCATAGTATGGTACACTCAGCCCCAAAGGGACCTTGCCTGCACGTTAATAGTGCCTTCTACAATTAAACACTTCATCTACCCAGGTTTGAATTGCCAAAAGCTACCCACTATCAAACTGGACTTTTAAGTATAGACCAGGTAAGAGACAAGGCAAGAAAAGAAGCCAGAACTGTTGACCCTAGCTATAAAGAAAACTGTTGGCAAAGAAGTTATCTCTACTAAGAGACCACCTGTCCTTTATATATGATGTCATCACCTTGTGGAGATTAAGAAGTCTCAGCTTCTGGTGATTGCACATGAAGTAGGTCCTGTCAGAATGGTTTTCTTCTTTTCTGCCTGATATTATAAAATGGGAGTTCCCTACTGAATCAACCAATGGGAGAGCCAGACTGGGGCATCTAGCCCACAGAAGATCAGGAATATGCACAACACTGTCACCATAAGGCTGTTTAACTGGACGGCAAGTGTGCTCTGCCTAAACTAGTGGAAGCTATCAGGACCAATTACAATGACACATGATGACCTTCATGGTTACTGGGGAGGCAACACATTGGGTCAAAACTGTGTGGCTTGTGTTCCAAGCTGGAAAAGGCAAAGTCTAAAGAACTCATCACTAAACTGGACTAACTATATACTATTGAGTTTTTTATACATAAAAATAATTTTTTAAATGTCCGTATGTAACAATATGAACTTTCATTCATTGTTGATGAGAATGCAAATTTCAAAGCCACTTTGAAAGATAGCTTCACAAATTCTTGTAAAGTTCAATAGACTTAGCATACAAATCAGCAATAGTATTCCTAAGTATGTATCCATTGAAATTGAAATTTTATATTCACAGGAAAGCTGTATGTGAAACTTCATTCATAATTACCTAAAAAGACTTTGAAGCAACCAACATATCCCTAACAGAAGAGTGGATAAACTGAGTTAAAGCCTTTCTATGTAGTGAAATATATGGCCAAATACTATTTAGTGATAAAAATAAATGAACTATTGATTTGTGCAGCAGCCTGAATGAACATTAAATATACTCAACTAAATGAAAGTTGTCAGACCCTGAAAGTACATATTGTATGATTCCCTTCTTTACATTCTAGAAAAGCCAAAACTATAAGCACAAAATCAAGGGTTACTAGGGTTTGGTGAGGACAGAGTACTTGACTCCAAGAGGGATGCACACGGGGACTTTTAGGATGACGAAATTCTTTGTTCTTCATGGTACCC